GGTATTCTATAAGGTATATTTCAGGTATACAATGGGTATATTACACTGGCGGTCTTCTGGGATTCCAGATGGTATTTTAACGGACATCCTATAAGGTATTCTGTAGGGTACTCCATAATGCATTGTACAAAACGTATTGTGTAGCCTATATTTAGCAAGGTATTCTGTAGGGTATCCTATACGAATTTCTCTAAAATACATAGGGTGCTCTGTGAGGTAGTTGTAAGGCCTTCTATAAGGTAGTTGTAAGGCTATTCGTCTTGGTTCCTGATTTCAATCGTAGGAGCCCCTTGCCCATCATAAGCTACAATTCAACTGAACTGGGGACTTCTCAGATCTACAGCTCTGACTGGTTCTCCAGTTTTAGATCCCTATCTATAGGGTACTCTACAGGGTATTCTATAAGTGATTTTAGAGGAAATCCTACAAGGTATTCTATAGGTATTCTGTAGGTATTCTATATGGCAGATGTAAGGTATACAGGATTATCATATACAGGCGGTCGTTTATAAGGTATTCAACAGGGTATTTCAGATGGTATTCTCTCATAGGTAGTCTAAAAGTATTCCTTCGCCTATTTCACAAGGTATTGATTGTAGAAGGTATTCTATAGGGTATGTACAGGAGGTATTCTAAAAGGTATTCTGTTCTCTGTATGTATTCCTACTAAATAAGCTGCGATTCGATCAAGGAAATCCGGAATCCCAGATGCCGCACCACGGCCCGCCAAACGGACCATTCGGTCCAACACTCCTTTCCCTTCCCAACGGGTGGATAACCCAGAAGGGGGGGTGGGGGGGTCGCATTTATATGGTCAGGCGCTCCGCGCTTTCCCCCCCCGCTCCCCCCCCATGGTCCATGGTCCAGGATCCCCCCCCCCTGTGGGTGGGGTGTGGGGTCCCTCTTCCCCTGTGGTGTGGTTGTGGGGTTTGGGGCTTTGGGGTTTAGCTCAAGCTTTTGAGTTTGGGGTTTGTGTACATATATATATATATAATGCGCGTGCATACATAAACAATATATATATATATATATACATATTTTCTATATTTATATACAGATCAGCATGCGTATCTGTATTCACATGTACGCGGAGACGAACTTGCGCGTTTGCCTGTTCGAATAGACACTGAGTCTGATGCAAGTTGCCCACAAATGCCAATACTCTTGCAGTTCATGTTGGGTGCATGTCGGCTGCAGGCATCTGATATTGCGCTGATTTTCATGATGGCACGCCTGCATCTGCTACCCCGCAAACAAGGAACTTACGAAGGTCACCGGTGGGAGCCTTCAAAACCGTCGTGTAGCCCACACTTCCCAAACAAGGCTTGAACTGAATTCAGTCGCCTTTTCCTCAGGGCTGACGACAGGCTCCTTCACGAGGAAACAGTACAGGGGTCTCGAAGTAGGAGCTATTTAAAATTTACACGACAACTACTACTGCTACTACGACAACCACCACGACTACTACCACCAAGACTACTACCACTACTACTACTACTACTACTACTACTACTACTACTACTAGTACGACTAGTACTACTAGTACTACTAGTACTACCACTATTACTACTACTACCACCACCACCGGACCACCACCACCACCACTGCCACTACCACGACGACGACGACTACTACTACTACCACCACCACCACCACCAGAACTAGTACCAGTACTAGTTCAAGTACTGGCGGCAGCAGCAGCAGCAGTAGCAGTGGCAGTGGCAGTGGCAGTAGCGGCGGCGATAGCAGCAGCCGCGGGCAGTAGCAGTGGCAGCAATGGTAGCAGTATTAGTAGTAGTAGTAGTAGTAGTAGTAGCAGCAGCAGCAGCAGCAGCAGGAGTAGTAGTAGCAGTAGTAGCAGTAGTCGTAGTAGTAGCAGCAGCAGCAGGAGTGGCAGGAGTGGCAGGAGTAGAAGTAGTAGAGTAAGAGTAGCAGTAGTAGCAGTCGTAGTAGTAGTAGTAGTAGTAGTAGTAGTAGTAGTAGTATTAGTAGTAGTAGTAGTAGTAGTAGTAGTAGCAGCAGCAGCAGTAGCAGCTTGTAGTAGTAAGTGGCAGTAGTAGATAGTAGTGGTAGTAGTGGTAGCGTGGTAGTGGTAGGTAGTACGTCGTTGGTATTAGGCAGTACGTAGTGGTAGTAGGCAGTATGTCTACATAGGAAACATTGGGAGGTCGAGGCACGAGCCCTATGCATCCACCTTAACACTGCAGGCTCCTATGCTGGACTATGACTAGGTGACTAGGAGCTTCGCTGCATTCCCGAGCAGAACTTCTCCTGCGGCTCGTCCTTTGCTTTCTTCTTGTCCTTGTCCTGTAGCCGATCTCAAGTAGAATTGGGTGCATCGGGATTGCCGTGGGTCGGATGGCGCAGGATTGCGATCACACTAGGCAGGGATGTGGTCTTGTGGGATGCCGGCGGCGTGGTCGGGAGATGTGACTCAATGCTTGGGGGTGCTGCCTTCTTTGTTCACCAGCAAGCTCAATTTCGAACTCTATCCAAGGTCGTGGCCATATCACGGAAATGGTGATGACCATGATGATCATGATCATGATGGTGGTGATGGATGTGGTGATGGAGCTGAACATGACGGTGATGCTGGCACTGGGGCGGGTGATGCATCTTCTCGGCCTTCTTCTTCTTGTCATCGACAGGCTCTTCTGGTTCCTTTCCAAGGCCAGAGGGTTATGCTCAAGGCCGGGATGGAACTAACAAGGCTCCCAGATGATCAAACCAACCAGGCTTCAAAGTGATCTTCTGCTGCCCAAGGCGTTTCGACGCGAAATCGGCAACTCGGTTAGGTCTTCGCCCTCTTACAGCAGCCGTGATCTTGGGAAGGAGGCCTCTGCTACTACTGTCTCTGATTCTCTGGGTCGAGAAATATCCGCTGCCTGAGATTCCATTCTTGGTACCAAAACTTGTGTGCTTTTTGCTACATCCCCTTGCCAGCCGCTGGCATCAACCACGATGCTGAACTAAGCCGGCATCCCACCTGTGCAATTGAACCACCCTGTGAGTACACAACCGCGGTGGCGAATTGCCCAAGGCTAGGAGAGGAGCCCTGCTGCTGGCCTCCCAACCGAATCAGTTAAAGCTCGAGGTCTTCGGTCTTGTGACAAACGCGATGCGTGCACAAATTGCTGCCTCTGCCTTGAAGACATCCACCGTTGGTGGCGGTGCGTGTTCCTGCAAGCCGAGCGTGGCATCTTGGGCTCCACAGTTTGGAGTCTTTTGGATTCATCCCGAGCCTGGAGCTGTTGGAATTTTCTTCTGCGAAGATCGGGTGAATCTTAGGACCCTGCGGGGCTAACATAGATCCCACGAGGGACCATTGCACGAGGTTTCGGCCGCACATGTTGAAAAGCGATGATGCAAGTTGAATCTCTGTCTGCACTAAAGACATTATCAGTAGCCCTACCTTAGCAACAAATTGCCTTAACACAGCAACAAAAAGCCTTAACACACCGTAGTACAAACACAAATGCCTCCGGCAGACCCATGTGCATCGCGGAATAGTAGAAGTCGCTCAGAAGTTGGCAGGTGGCGTGGTATCGCCTCGTGCTTCGGGAGCGAACCTCCTACATGTTCGGCCCCCTCGACAGAAGCGGTTGCTCTCATCGGCAGCTTTTGTTTCTGACGATTTCAGGACGTGAAAATCCCAAGTCATGAAGGTGATGCACCACCACCACCACCGCCGCCGCCGCCACCACCACCACCACCACCAATCCTACTACTACTCCTCCTCCGCCTCCTGCTGCTGCTACACTACTACCACTTCGACGTCGACTTTGACTTTGGCTTCGACTGCGACTACCACTGCCACTGCGACTGCACTAGTACTGCTACTGAGCTGATGCTAGTGCTAGTGCTACTGCTGCTGCTGCTGCTACTATTACTTCTCCTGCAGCTGCTGCTGCCTACTACTCCTACTACTACTAATAATAATGATACTAATACTACTACTGCTACGACGACCCCTACTCCTACTCCTACTCCTACTCCTACTGCTACTCCTACTCCTACTCCTACTCCTACTCCTACTCCTACTCCTACTCCTACTACTACTACTACTACTACTACTACTACTACTACTATAATACTACTGCTGCTG